GGCTCCATCTTCTGTGTTATTCATCACGCATTGAACACTCGGTCTATCGTCCTCAACAAAGCCGGTGTCGTGTTGCTGCTCAGGCGTCAGGGGCGCCTCTCTCTCTCCCCACCGAAACGCACACAAGGGCTTACAAACTTCATTGCAGTCGGGATTGCAACCTTCTACGGGCCATTGAAGTATCAGTTTACCTCGATTCAAAGATCAATCCTGTGTTCCCTCACACAAGCTTAACATCGCAAACTAGCGTCTTGACCTCTCTATGAACAACCTCTTAAAGTCAGCACATCTCCTCATTTCCGCTGAAAGCCCCTGCCTGTTTGTTCGCGTACTAAGCAGAAACAGTTGCATCGGACCGCACAAGATCCCAAATGCAGCGAGAAGTGACATGTTAGACATTGGAATTTGCTCCTCTGTAGATCTAGGCTCATATATCTAAATACTCTTTTGGAACCTGTGCAGTGAATCGTCCTATCTTTAATGCACATAGCGAGAATGCGATCTAACGTGCTTGAGCAAAGTGCTCAAATAGCACACATATTGACAGTGGTCTTGGATACTGCTCACTGCACAGGGAGCGGATGTGATCGAATTCGATTCACACCCGCAACCTCGCACGAAAGATTTTTTTAGTACTGGCTACTCTATGAGGTAACGGCGTTCGTGAAGCAGGATCTGTTTCAGATTGACTGGCTCATCTACATATAAATGCATTAAGAGTTGTCTGATGTCCAAGCACAACTTAAACCTCAGGGCGGACTATTTTGGATCTGATCTTGTTCACCCAGAGACCAAAATTCGGACATTGGGACTCGAACGTTGATACAGTGCTTCTTCACTGGTCACGCAGGTATTTAGTCAACATCATGGTGTGGTTCGAATACGAGGTGATTCAGGTACTGGCCAAACATCTGCAACGCCGTAAGTGGTGGTGATAGTATGCCTATCGCCTTTGCTTCAGTTACATGACGTGTAATGCAACGCAGATCTCTTATTATTTGGCGTACTGTTTGTTTTTTGAGTGTGTACTTTGGTTGTTTTTTATTTGGTCCCGGGTCCATCTGGTATTGTCCGGACGTACTTGCAACATATGCGCGAGTGATGACCACCATGCTTAGCCAATCAACTTCAAAGCTAGTTGAAATTTGGCTGGATCCAGCCTTAATCAAAGAACAGGATTAACTGCATAGGCAGCCAGTATTAAAAATGATTTCTGGTGCAAAGTCTCGTGTATTATTCCCTTTGTAGCAACTGCTCCAGAGGCCTATCGAACAAGATGATCGCCATGAGATATCTAACCTAACGGGTTTGCTTGATTCACTGACCACGATCAAGAAAATGTACTGGTTGCTTGGCCAAACGGCTTGGAAAACTATTGTTCGTAAATTTACCGAACGCAGTCTGGAAGTGACCGAATATATACCGGCCTCGCTTGGTGGAGCAATACATCTGTCAGAAGAATGTGAATTGAGAAGCTGTTCAATTCGAGGGGAGCAAGAAGTACATGGTTCGTTGCAGTGAAATTCTTCTATTAAACGCAAGGTGCACTATTGTATACATGACTTTACACCATGAACCGTAGTTGAAACACTCCGGATAAATCATGGGAATAGTTGCTCTAAGGGCTAAGGTGTTTAATACACCCATGTGGCTTGCTGTTGAAAGGCTAGAATACAATTCATCAGTACTCCCACCGGGTCTTGAGTTACGTATGAATCCTTACAGATGTAAATAATATTCGTCAATGGTGAAATCAAGCCGTCATGTACTCCGCTTATCAGTATTTGCATAGCTGAGTGTTTTGTAAGTCTCTACCTCCTCTTGGTCTTACACTGTAGAAGCTGGACTCAGGAGATGTTGAACTTTGAGCATGGACAATTTGCAAACAGCTCATCAGTCAGCGCAAATTCAAAACCTCAAGACATAGTGCGAAAAAAAAAAGAAACTCAGCCCCGCGCTTACATTTCGCACATTGTGCATATTCGCGGGATTCTGCGCTATAACGGTTAATGAATATTTTACCTTCCATTTCTGCAATAACAGTACATATGTACGCTTAATAAAACCTCGCGTATCAAGATTAACAATATCAAGATCATATGGAAGAGACAGGGAGGTGAAGTGAAATGCACTTGAAGCAAGCGCATATTCTCAAAGCATTGCGCCAATACCACATAGTTACGATGTGTATGATCAGCGTGTTCTATTCTGAGCAGACAGGTGGTGGTTCTACCTCCAAGAGGGATGAAATTTATCCCGTACAATGCTAACCCATTTCCAAAATGTCCTTATTATACCAACTAAGCCATCGATCACAAGGTACTTCGATCGACTACATTCTGACTCTTCTTTCTAGCTACAATGTTTGTGTGGAACTAGGTTTTAGAAACCTTACGGCCGGTCCAAGGCCTCTGAACGTTCGTAGAAGTCCGCACCATGGGCCTTTCGAAGCTCGCTTAATGTTGGAGAAAATATCCAAGTTAAAAAAAACCACCCCACCACGTTCTGCTGTCCCAACAAACTTCGACACGTACGATAGATGACAACTTCCACCCACCAGGACGCTCCAAAGCTGTCCTCGGTTTGTTTGTAATTTTAAAGTTGTAAGTTGTAAATATGTACGCCTTTGTTGTGTGCGTAGTACTTCTAACGCATATCTGTCTATTTGGGACTGCAGAAGCACAAAGGAGTGCCTGTGTAATGTCTTACTGTTATGTGCATGCGGCAAATACATAATTGCACAGAACATACTTCTCTCCTTCCTTCTTTCTCCCAGGTATAGTCCTGGGTACATTTGGGAGTTGAGCCGCTCTATATTAACTTTGAGCTGCGTTGGAAATCAGTTAAGCAAACTCTATAGAGTGCATATTCATACATGCGTACAGCGCTCAAGGTTTCATGCACAGCTGAGCACACAATGTAAAGTCTGTGACTTCGACCTCGCTTGTGATGAATCTCATATGTATGTCATGTAAGTGCGTTGTGTGTATAAAAGTAGGAATCAATCCGCGCTGGAGAGGATTCTTCCAAGAGACCGAATTTGTAGCGTAATCTTTTTTTTTTTTGACCAGCTATTTTGGTTGTTCATCGGAGAAGGGTCTCTTTCATAGAAAGGTAATACACTGAACACACAACAGTTCCTCAAAAGAAGAAGAATCTGAAAAACATGTTTATGAGTGCACAGAAGATGCGCTTACCCTCCGTTCATGACATATTCCCTCACACCGACTCCAGCTCATCACCATCACAAAGATCAACACCACAGACAGACAGAGAGCAGGTATACAATTCCAGGCCTCGTCCGGAATCAGGGGCAAATGTAGGGGTGTGGTACACATACCAAGCCCCGCCACAAACAGTTGTACACCAAGCATTGCCAAATCACCAATATCCACCACCACAACAACAATATCATCAGCAGCAACAACAACAACAACAGCATCATTATCATCAGCAGCAGCAACAGCAACAACGGCAACAACAGCAACAACAGCAACAACAGCAACAACATCTGCACCATTCACCAGTATATCAACACTTCATGGCCCAGCCAGCTCTCACAATGTCACAACAGCATCGTGAACGTTACCAGCATCATGTCAGCCCATATTCACACCCATCACCACTGCCACAGCTACCACAGCAAAATATTTATCAATATCAATATCGACCAGAACTAGTTTATCGTATTGCGGCTCCACGGCAGAGATTTCATCACATTGAAAAGCCACGTCAGAACAATGCGTGGAGCTATGAAGATGATTCTCTCTTACGGTATTTAAAGGAGAAGAGAAACTTGGGATGGAGGGAAATCTCACTTCATTTCAAGAACAGAACCGCAAATGGATGTCAGTTCAGATGGCGAAGACTATCTGCGCTGGAAAAGGAGAAGAAACAACGTCTACTGGACTCAAAGAAAACAAATGATACCGATGCCACCAGTTCAACCACGCAGGCTGTGGTGAACAATTCCCCTCCTAATTCCACCAAGTCAGTATCAAGTCCAAGTTCTCCACGCCATAGTCTTCGGAATTTGCTTAATTGAAACAGTCAATAGTCATTTAGCCGGTTATATAAACATTCCCTTTTTTTCTTTTAGTTGTGGTATCCTAGATATGCGACTTTATATTGGAGGTCTAATTAATGAACTGTTTTGAGAGCTTAGACCAGGTGTTGTTCTTTGTACTAGAACATGTATCTATCAAAATACCGGAGTGCTTATTAACAAAGGTTATTAACTGCTTTCACTTGCGAATACAATCTGATCAAAGGATAGTTCAATACCCCTTTCACAGCGTGGAACACGCAAGGCATGGTGTCCATTCGGAATGTAATTGATGATCATTAAGTGCGATGCCCTTTGATTATTCATGACACGACCAATGGTGCAGCGTGGACCGCACTTTCAGTCTGATTTGATCATTTGACTCTAAGTGGAATCAGAGTTATAGAAAGGCCAGCGAATGGAATCTTCAAGAGAGTGCTACCATGTTGTTACCTTGGAATACTGTACTCTCGGAACACCAGAACATCTCCAAACACTACTGGAAATCCTGAAACTCAACCAATGTGTGTCTTGCATTCAACTATACTGTAGCGTGATCGACAGAGAAATTGCTGTTTATGTTAACCATTAGAAGCCAGGTACTGGATCTACACCCCCTTTCAGTACTCATCTAAGCGACAGCTAAAGCCCACTACACCCCCCTCCCTAACATCACCACGGTATGTATGCTTGAAGTTCAGACATACAATTGTCCTTCCAAAGCTTCCAACACATCCTAAAAATGTAGCACTGTCCCAAGTTGTCAATTCTAGGTAAGTGAAAAGTTCTCATACTTCTACCTAAGACACATTCCACGTATGTTTTTACGCACGTATAACTCCTAGGTCCATCCAGCCCGGTAGCTTAAATGCTCATTCAACTACGAGGCGAAGCTGGCAGCCCTAATTAGCACGCCTCAGCTCGTTAATGTAAACCAAAAAAAACGACTGCAAGACGCTCCGGTCCATTATCACCAGGGCTGACTTGGTCATAGCCCCATCTCCATGGTCAAATCTAGGTGGCATGATACATCCACCAATCCACACTATCTTTTGAAATACTTGAGAGTTTCGACTGTGCGCTTCAAGGCTGTACGTTGGTAGAGTAACTGTTATTTGGATAGTTTTTCTTTGTAACACCACCATTCCTGAACCTTCTGCAGGCAATTGAAAGAGAGCGAGGATGGGCCGAGTCCACCGGAATCTCTTGTTCGTGATTAGATACGACTTGATTGACTATTGTAACTACTGGAAAGACTCACTAGCCTAATCATGCACTGTGGCTCGAGCAACTTGGACTTTCGGCGATCAATGCTACTCATGCTCTGGCGTGCTTATCGGAATGTCCTGAGCTCGACAACCAAACTCAGGAATGGCTTACAACTACCGGGGGACTTCGCGAACATGTGGTTAGAAATCAGTGCTTGGAATTCATATCAGACTAGTGTCTTATGAGCTTCAATGTATACATGGTTGCTAGCCTCAAGAGCATCGGGATGGACCACCGCAAGCTGCATCCATTTGGCGTATTCCGGGGTATTCACCCACACGAATTGTCTCATAATATCTAATCAAGATTCGAAGGAGAACGTCAGGCCATTTACTGCTGAGAGAGCTAAGGTGAGAATTACATGTAGAACTGACACATACAGTTCTGTATTGTATTAACTCTTGAGTCGATGCTCTTTCGCTGGCTAACTGTACAATCCAGTCATATTATTGGCCTCCCTGCATTTCATATCAACCACTGGACAAATGTCATTACAACGACATTAACAGTCTAGCCCATACACCTGTCCCAAAGAAGACGTACTTAATCGTATCTTAGTTTACATGTTTGCATACAACCCTAATTTAAAGCGTCATATACCAAGTCATTAAAAAAATGCTGTCAACGAACTGACATTCAAGGTTGCTGAGCCTCTATAACATTCCTCCCTCTAAGGCATTTGACTTTACCACTCCTCACTCATTACAAGCGTTTGAACAATTAACCACTGAGTCAAGGCATAGCACTAAACAACAGCTAAAAAAATTTTCCCTAGATCCGGCATTAACTATACATCAAGATACTGTCAAACTCTGTGTGTAGACATTATACAGTCAATTTACGAATGGTATAGATCGGCGAAAATTTCAATCCTTATCAAATACAACATCTAAACATGGCCGGTAACTCTATAATTTTAAGTACATAAGCTTATCTTTAAGCTTGAGCGTAATTCGAGTTAATGACGTTCGTCTGGAGGAGAGGCTACTCATCAGAAGGGTGCTTTTCCCCGCTATTTTCTCTCTTCCATTCACTCATCTCAAATCTTATGGAGTAGTAACTGGAAAGTGTGTCCAATGCCTCAGGGCCTGTACATTTTCTACAGGCCAGAATGACAAGACTGGCAACCAGTTCACAGGTAAAGATGGATGTCCTGGCTTAGTAATATCCAATCTACTAAAGGAACTTAAATACAGTGGTGACAGTTGCAGTTTTATGTGTCTCATTTGCTGGTTACTCAGTGACTTTAGGGTTTTCCAAGCACAGTGCACTGCATAAGATATTAAATTATTTTGCTAACTATTACCTTTTCCAAAACCAACATTAGCGTATTTGTCTCCTGTTTTATCAAAAAATAATGGAAGGAAGCTTTAGGATTAAGCCTTGCTGCTATAATCACAATTTGGCTGCAGAAATCTGGGATCTTTTCTTCTCTTACTCGCTTAGCTGGTGGCATGCTTCATATCGAGCTTGGACATATGCTTTAGCAAATGAATTATGTCATCAGTTCGAAAGATACACACTAGACATCCTTGGCTTGAGTACGTAATCGGTTATATTTCCCGGGTCAATTGTTGTGCTGTCTTTCTATGAGGCTCACTAAGATACTCCGCAAGGAAGACACACCATCCACTCATTGCACCTTACAGTTAGGTTGTTGATAAGTAGTCAAGTGGCGAAATACTAGTACGTTACTCATTCAGTACAAACTCTATTTTATGTATATGTTAGCTATAGGGTGTCACTATTGAAAAACTAGTGGAATATAAAAGGAAAAAAAAAGGATGCCCGTTGTATATGGTTATCTACCAAATGGGCCAGAGAGGTCCTCAGTCTTTGTAATATGTGCTAAGAAGCCAAGACTATTTCCCCAAGTATGAGAACTAAGTAGACCACATACTGTAAATTTCATTACATGTAGCGAGGTCATATGACCTTGCAAAACCATTGGCCATTAATTTTAGCTGATTAAGATTGGAGATACTATAACCTAAGCCCTGACCCGACATTTGACAATTTGACGGTTATACGAGACTAAGCACTTGAAAAGCACAAATTCTCAATTGTGGTAATGCTTTCCCCCGTCACTCAGTTGTTCATGCCTTTCGTTACATCTGGTTGATTGTTGTCCATATTTCAATACAAAAACACCTCATGTTGTTATGGTTAAGCCTCTCTATTGAAAATTTGGAAGAGCGTAATAAGATATGTACCTCAATTGGTTTTACGGGTTGATGTCTGGAGGGACTGTGTCAAAGATCATCACCACACACATAGCTCCCCATGGGCTCAAGGATTTTCATCCTGGAATGCAGATTGTGAGGTTTCAGGAGTGCAGAAATGTAAATCGGTATGCGATGCTAGGTTCTATTTTGGTAAGCCCCTTTCAAGAGTACGAAATTAGCTGAGGCATGACCAACCAGCGTACGCATTACTGGCTTTCAGAGTGTTGGTGAGACCTATCAAACTAAGCACGCTTTATTTGTTAAGCACTTCTATTGTTGCATCTGCTTGGAAACCATTAGAAGTCTCTAGTACCATTGGTGGGCGAGATCTTCCCTCAGAGTTTAAAATTAAGTTTTGATATTTGTCTATAGCCAGATTTTTTACGTAAAGCTTTGATCTGCGGGCCCTATATATCTTGAGGGACAAAATCATCCGCCTTATTTCATTAAAATGATACCAATATTACTAATTCAACTATAATCTTGTAATAAATGAAGTATGACGTTGCAATTATAGGCCATAATCAAAGTTCGATCATTCATGACACTCAATTAGCGATCTTACCCTTTGGCGGTTGACTTCGTGTTCAACCGCATATATCGAAATACAGTTATTTACTTGGTCCACCCCCAGCACACCTGAGGAAGTACATGATTAGTACTATACGCCTTCTGCATCTACTATTAGTAGACGTACAAATGGTGTACAGAGTCTTCAGGATAATTCTACTGCATGCAGATGATATTAACCCTTCAGTTTCAATGATCAGCTTCAACTTCTCATTAAGCACAATCCGTAGTTGTAGGCTGTACCCTGCGGTACACTGTAATCTTTGTTGCAGCTTTCTGTTTAACCAGAATATTTGTTATCAAAGTATATCCATATTAAACTTAGTCTAAGCTTCATGGCCTAGATCAGAGAATAACCTGGTAAAATCATCATGACAAATATCTAGAATGGCAGCAGCAGAGGCGACTTCTACTATGTTTTCTTGACTTAGCAGTACGGATCATCACATCGGCAAGACAGGATAATGGACTACTTGAACAAACTAGCCTCCAATTGCTCTTCATTCATTTGGTCTTACATCGTGGCTGCTATGAAAAATACTTTGACGCTAAAGGGCATTTGACGCAACTCACTGTACTCCACCTTACTCTTCTCAACTTCATAGGATATAGGACACGGTGTTGATGGCGTGGGCCATTTTGCAACTAGATGCTCGCAACTTAAAAAGGTGGCTTCGAATTATCCCGTGTCCCTAGCTGCCGATACGTATATGAACGGTCTCTGAGTAATCCAAGAAGAAAATCCCAGTCCCTTTGTTTTAAAATCTAATCTGATTATTACTACTTAATTATGTGGATAACTGGTGCTGTGTTACTGAGCTCATACGTACAATATTCTTCGGATCTCTGTTGCTAAATAATAATTGGATTCTCACAGACTCCGGAACTGTGCTAGTTGCCAGCCTCACCGCATACTAACGCTGACAACCACTGTAG